GACCATGGCGTCCCATGACACGCTCATAGTCCGTGTTGTCGGAGCCGATCTTCGCATTGAAGTCGCCAGTGTAGATCTTGATGTCACCCTTTGGAACCTTATCCACGACGGCATTCAGTTGACTGTAAAAATTCTCCTTGTCCTGTTGCTCGGCAGCATCGGTTGGCGCATAACATTGGATTATGGTAAGGTTACGAAGCCGTGTTCTAAATCTGGCAACGATTATCCTCTCATTAACAGGCTCCCACTTGATGAGCGCAGCTCTTGCCTGGACGCTAAGTAGGAGACCAACTCCACGATGGCGGGGAGCGTTTTCACCTCGAATACCAGAGTATAGTAGTACCTGTTCCGACGGCAGTTTGTGTTCTCCAAAGTTTGGCCAACGAACTTCACTCAGTCCCAGGATTTCTAGCTTCATGCGTCGCGCCTCGTTGGCGAGTTGTGCCAGTTTACCCTGCTGGGCTAACATCAATACATTCCATGATTCAATTCGTGTCCGTTGTTTTGCGCTAAAAGTCGTTGCCGTTATATCAGTTCGATGTCTTTCTCTGTTGGTTTCTGTAACAATTGTAAAGGTTTCAGAGACAGTAGGTGGTTGGCCTAAGGTCTCCTATCCGCCGTGATGGGGCTGCCATCTTAGGTGTAGCTTCCGGGGAAGAGCATTTCTTATTCAGCCGCTGGATGCCACTCAGACGCTGTTTGAGCCGCACCTCCATGGTGAACAGACGCTCGGGTTGGCGAAGCATTTCCTCTATCACCGTGCTATGATTACCGCGCCAGTGTTCGCGTCGCACCTCCTCACTCTGCTGCTATTGTCGGATTGACAACATTGCCCAGGCTACGCCAACCAGCTGTGTCCATGTTTCAGCTAGCAGTCTTTTGTGATCATATGACTCGTGGAGGCGTGAGGTAGGAACTTGTGAGGACCGGAGCTAGGTATATCGCTCCTTCCAGATTGTCACTCACCATTTTGTAGCCCAATCCACATGAGGGATAATCGCAGGGGTCAACCCAACCGAAGTGCAATGGAAGGGCCTCACCCTGGGGGAACCGCCTTAATGATCACGGTAAGTATATCTGTATGTATCTTAACCATACGAAAAATCAATTTTTCCCGAACAAACTTGAGCCATTTACCGTAAATTGTAATGTTGTTCTATTGTTGAAAATCCTTACAATATGGGACGTATTGTACATCTATTGTAATAACTATATGTTAAAATTTCTTGTACAATATACGTAAAATAAGATAGATTGTTGACAATAGATTTCGGGCGTTGTAACTATATTTTATTTTATGGTAATTGTATGGTTATTTTTTTCCGGGCCACCTGGCGACGGCGGAGACTGCCGCTTGGGCTCTCATCCTTGTACGTACTGGCGTGGGTCCGGTGGTGACGATGAGAATGTCGTCGGCGTAGACGAACACATATATGTTCTTCGGTAGTTGACGGAAGACTCCGTTCTTCGCCACGAGGAACAGGGTAACGGCGATAACCGATCCTTGTGGGACATCCGTTTCCTCGGGGAAAAGCCGGGATTTGGTGTTGCCGACTGCGACTCGGAATGAGCGGTTGGACAAGAAGTTCTGACCCGCATAAATAATAACCATAAGAAGCGCCTAACCACCAATTCGGGATATCATCCCAACTTTATATAGCATGGTAGCACCATCTATGATATCGTTAGTGAATGGTAGCCGTTTATTAGGGGGATGAAGTGAACGATGTAACAGATGGGGTACTCCCTGCCCAGCATTAATGAGACCCCCCTCTACACTGCCTCAGGGTCGGCATACACGTGTGACTATCGCGGCCAAGGAAACACTCAAATACACTCAAATACTCTTCACACACACACAGGTCTCGTTTATTTCCCTAACTTTCCCACTTTCTTATCGGTTATCTCCTACCTTAGCCTTCAGTAGTTCTTCCTTCGTCTTCCGTTGTCGATGGGGGCCCCCTTCTCCTCCGTTCCGCTACACCTTCACCTTCACTTTCTCCTTTCCTTTGCTTCTGTTCTTCGTCCCTCGGTTTCGACTGTGGGTTGCCCAGTCGATTCACCTCTTAACCCTTCACTCTCCTCTTCTCCTACGGGTGCTCCCACGGTACCGTTTGCCGAGTCGTTCGCGAACGGTATAACGTGTCCACGACGCTCAAGGCCGATCCACAATGGCGATGAACACGGACTAGTAAACGCGGCTGGTTCGCGCCGTAGATAATGATAACGGTAAACGGTAAACTACGGGGTCCTGGATATTTCAGTAGGTTGGCTCCTCCTCCACTACTGATCGAGTTTCGCGCCTCAAGACTCGTGCAGGCTACTAACTTTAACTCGAATAACAATCTTTCACTTTGATGTATATCACATTCGATTTGGGTTTTTCTAGCTTGGTTTTCGACTACCACTTTTGACTTTTGCCAGGCAATTAGCTAGCAACGATGGCGGGTGATTTCCTTGCGCTCTCGATCGTTGATCCATTTTTCTTCAGCCCGATTTCGCCCCATCATGGCCCCTTTTACACGACCTCCCGATGGCCTCCCAATCCTGCTGTCAGTGGCATCTGGCTGTGAGTAGCGGAACTTCGTGGAGTGGTTGCGTGCGGTCCAGTGGGTGGTGGGCGGTGTTGGCACTAATATTTGAATCCTTTCCTGGCATTCATAACATTTAAATCGAAACACTAAACTCGCGACAATCTCAACAATCTTAGACAGATAGACACACCACTGGTTACAACGATGGGTCCGTTAAGACCCCCAGTCGATTAGTTGCTTAAGGACGAGGGGCGTCCACGTTCTGTTGAAGGCCTTCGATATGTCGAGCGATACTATCTCGGTGTGCCGACCACTTTCGTAGGCGTTCTTGAGAACTTCCCCTAGGGTTGCGAAATAAGTGGACGTTCCGAAACCTTGTCGGAAAGCGTGCTGTCGGTGATCAAGGAAATTTCCAGCTTCGAGTAACAAGAAGAGAGTGTAAAGTGGGTGTTTGACTCATGAAACCTGTCAATTCTGCTTTCAGAGCGCCACAATCAGCGATCTTATGATTCGCGAGCGTTCACTCACAGTGAGCGCTCACGAATCGTGAAGTCGCTGATTGTGACGCACTACAAGCAATATTGACAGGTTTATGTGTCAAACACATGCTTCACGACCTGTTCTTGTATCTTACAAGTACTAATTACCAATATAACATCTAATGGTTTCATAATTCCGAGAAGAAAAAAAAAAAACATATTTTATAGCAAGTGAGTGGAAGCAACCCTGATCCTGGCCACGAACACGAGTTGGTTCGTGTCTAATCTATTAGGGACAAATTATGTTTATCTAGATAAAAAGAATTCTATGGTTTTAACAGATGGGATCGCTGCACATTTGAATCGGCCGTTAAGGATTCTCGATCAAGAGTTATATTTAAGTTTCATGTCGGCTTGTCGGTGTGAACACTATTGATCTTGTTTTCGGATTCTGATGTGTTTGGCACGTTTCAGGTAGAAATACTCAGAGTGAGATATAGGCGGAGAAAACAAAATACAATTCGGCAGCAGGGATTTGTTCCTAAATTATCTTGCAACCCTTGCTAGAAGCTAGCATTTCAAATGACTTTTATTTTTTAATTCGATTTACGTGCAAAATAATAATTGATTGCATTGCAATATTTTGCACATTTCTTGGTGCCATTTATTAACCAACGAAGATCAATCAATCAATAGAGTTTGAATATTGTTTTTGGTTCCAAAAACTAGTTGAATTTGGGAAGCACACAAAACATAAATGTTCCTTCTGAACTGGTTTTGTCAAGGCGAAGTGGACTGTACTGGGCGGGAGCGAACGGAGTTGGCTAGCATCAATCGAAGTTCTAAACTCAGGAGCTCTGAAAAGAGCTGGGGGTTTTGACGCTGCTCTCCGGGACACCAATGGACATGCAGTAGAAATGACGAATGCTGCCGACTACACTAGACACTACTGTTTATTTCTCTTCGTTTCTCGATACAAGGTAAAAGCTACTGCTGCTGCGAACGGATGCTCGGTTGGATTCAAACTTAAACTAAAGCACGCTACTGCGGGGATTTTTATAGAGCGGCACTGACTGTTTGCTCGTTGCTGATTGGTCGACGTTTTTCTCCTCTCTTTCGGCGGTAGGCGGAACAATAAAAGTGATTGAATTTCTGTTCGATTGCAATACTCTCAAATTTATTCTAGTAAGAATAAGAAATCGTCGGAAAAGTTCTAATTGAAATTCTCGATTGGCTCAGATTTTGAAAGTTCATTTGGCTCAGAACGTTCTCTCCGCCCATCTCTCCCTCTGAGTTTTTCTAGTTTCATCTCGCTTTTACTTTTAAGGCCCGTATTCAGCGAAATATGTTCAGGCTATATCTCCAGAACCAGCTGACCGATTCCAATAATATACAATAGCGTTCTATGGAACCATGGTATCTTTGGCGGTTGTTGCGTCCAATGTGGTCCAGTGGTCGTCGTTACACACATACTTGTTCCGATCTCCTCGATTGGTATTTAGGCCGACGGAGCCTCGGATCGAATGTAGGTTTTCCAAGCGGTATGTATCTCCTTGTAAGAAGGTTAATAAAGGAACTTCTTGGGCTTTCATGTTTCGGGAACGTACCAGGATTTTTCAAAGAAACAACAGCGAACATCAGAGGCAAACATATAGAACTTGCCGATCAATTAATCGAAGCATCTGCAGTCATCTTCAGGTAATCTGACAAATTTGCGAACATGCCAGCAATTTTTAGATACCTACTTTGGTGCAATTAAACCGCTGAAAAAGCGCTTGGGATTCGTAGAACATTAGAAAAGATGACCAAAAAGGGGGTCTGGCAAAATCTGGTCATTGTAATGCAATAAGTCCCAATTATCTATTTAACAGTATAAATACCTAAATCAGAATAAGGTTATTTTCAAATGTTGATGATGCCGGTGATGATGAAATAATGTTTTGTTTTTTACTTGGGTCGAGTTCCTTCGTAAATAATTTCCCCGGCCTTTAGACCCATAACATATATATTTTTTTACACGACTACGGTATCATAATTATTTCAGTAATATACGAGTATAACTAGTTACTAATAAAAGGGGCATACCATTCGCATTTCGCGGCCGTTCCATCGGAGATTCACCACGTCCATCAACGACCCATCCGCCACCGGTATCTATCGTAGTCAACTGTTCGTCCCCGATGCCAAGCCATCCAACCCGGCAACGGTGGCCGCAGCCGGGACGACAACAGCTCCATCTATCGTACCGGTCATCGTGGCCACCGTTCCCACCACGGGTCCCATCTTCTCGTGACAGTGCACCTTGTAGATGTGCTTATTCAGATTGTTGCTCTGGTTGAAGCGTTTCTCGCAGATGGTGCACTGGTACGGTTTGAGACCCTGGTGGATGCGCATGTGGGTGTTGAGGTTGTTCTTCTGGTTGAACAGACGGTCGCAGATGTAACATTTGTACGGTTTCTCGCCGGTGTGGGTTCGGACGTGGGTCTTGAGGTTGTTCGACTGAATGAATTGTTTTCCGCAGTACGGACAGTTGAACGGCTTCGGCGACGAATGGACCAACGAGTGGCGGCTGAATTCTTCCTCGTTCGGAAACGAGCGCGAACAGAAGGAACATTTAAACGGATCCTGGAAGATGTGTGTCTTCATATGGGTCTTCAAGTTGTTCGATTGGGTGAACGTTTTCTGGCAGATCTGGCATTTGTGGGGCTTAATCTGATTGTGCTGCTTCATGTGATCGCTCATATCGTCCTGGTTCATAAAGACCTTGTTACATACGGTACATATGTTGGGCTTTTGATCTGCATAGCAAACCCGGACGTGCTTGGCCAGCTCCGTTGGATGATGGAACTGCGTTCGACAAACCTTACAGACGAGCGAATGGGTTCGCATATGGGTCGTTAGATTGTTCTTCTGGTTGAAACGCTTCTCGCAAATAGCGCAAGCATATGGACGTTCGTTCGTGTGGGTCCTAACGTGTGTCTTCAGGTTGTTCGATTGGCTAAAGTGTTTGCCACAGATTTCACACTTGTACGGCTTCTGTCCCGAATGGACCTTCATGTGGGTGGACAAGTTGTTTGACTGAATAAAGCCCTTACCGCAGACGGAACACCTGCAATAAAAATACTTTGAAGAACATACACTAAATCATCATAAAACAACACTTCTTACCGATACGGCTTTTCAGAGCTGTGTTCCCTGAGATGTACTGCTAGCTGCGTAGCAGTCTGGAACTTCTTATGGCACACGATACAATCAATTGGTTTTCCATCTCCCTCGTCCGATGGTTCCGGCTCCTTGACCGTCACTGGCAACTGTTGCCCACTGCTTCCCGCCTGGTACAGCGCTCGATTCCGGAACTCGTTCTCGTGAATTTTCATGTGGTTCTGGTACTGGTCGCTAGCGTTGAATACTTTCTGGCAGATTTGGCATGCCTGTCCGGAGCCGCCTGCCATCTGGAAGCCTTGCACTCCCCCGGCATAGCTTGGCGATGCCAGCAACTGGAACGGTTGCGGTTCCGTCTTGATCGGGCTAGCGCCGGTAACAATCTGACCGTTGTAGGTGGTTACCGCATTACGGTACTCGATTTGCGGTGAATTCTCGTGCGTATTCAAGTGGACCGACAAAGTGCCGACACTGTTGAAGCACTTCAAGCAAATTTGACACTGATACTGTGGAGTCAGTTGTTTGACGGTAGATTCCGGACTGGCCGGGGCACCGGTGGCAGCAGCAATAATGGCTGCCGTCTCCGTTGGGGAACTGGTGACAATGTTGACTACGGTTGTGGTGGAAGATCCGGTTGACTCATTCGGTCTGCGAGGCGTCGTAGATGAGGTGGAAGGTGGAGCCGCTGACGAGGAGGGGTAGAGCGGCGGTGGCGGCATCATCGACATGACTACCGGATTACTCCTGTTGCGGGCTCCTTCCGGGGATTCAGTATATTTCCCGAGCATATCTACTATAAACTAAAAAATTGGAATATTATTTTAACAAATTGCACCGAAAAATACCAGGAAATTAATGTATTTTCATGCCTATTTCAAACGCTGCAAATACACACCTTTTTACGATTGCGGCTGGCCCTTTTTCACCCAACTAGATACGGTACAATCTAGGATGTATTTCGAATGTATTAATTCTAAACTATTGCTTAAAACTAATTATTTTAATGATTTTTTCCTAAATTTTGAAAACTTTTGTTTTTCTGCTGCTATTGTTCTTATTCTGCACTCCATGGAATACAAGAAAAAGAGCTACTGATTTGACTGACAAGCCTTGCTGTCAAAGCTGTCAAACGGCGGGCGGCTGCTGTCGGACTAACAATAGGGTAACCAGTTTTGAAAAGGATTCATTAAGTCAAGGCTATTTTTCACGCAGATGGCACTGTTCCATTGGTAGTAAGTGGAAATGCTCAGAGTGAGAGATGGACGGACTTTTTTCTTCGATCTGAATAACGGTTATAAAAATAATTGAGACGAGAATTGAGAGCATCACAATATTTTGCTCATTTCTTGGTGTTAATAATCAACCAACAACGATCAATTCATCAATAGCGCTCCCGCATAAATGAGAACCATTGCTTGACCTTACCGAAAATGGTTAAAAATTGTTTGTATTCCCTGCTAAACCTTAACTGAAATGGTTATGGAACTTTACATGAACGTTTGAGTGTAAAAGTTTTAACTTTATGCTAGGAGCATCCCACTCATTAAATATTTTTAAATTTCTCGTAAGTATCGCTAAGTATTTTTAAGTATTTTATTTCTAGGTTTTATTTTCATCGTAGTAACGTTTGTTTTATGACCAGTTGCCAGTGCTGTGTTTGTTGTTTTTTGCTCCATCAGTTCGATAATTTTAGTCGCGTGATCTGATCATTTTTGTCTGTTGTTGTTGACTGTATGTATTATGAAATAAAAGCTGACCACAATGAAACTGTTTATTCTCAAGACTACTAAACATTTAGCAGACTAATCATACTTTACCGAACCACCGAATCTATAAATAAAAATAATTTGAAAATAACAATATGGTTTTTTTAACGATAAAATGGAAAATGAAGCATTTTTGTAAGGTTATCGTTCAGCTCGTTAACCCATTTAATGAGTATGCCCCCAATATCGCCACATTTTTTATAATCTGTGATGTAAAATCATTGTAACTATCCACTAGAAGTTAGTTCAAGCCTCTAAGGGAGCATCCATTAAGTACGTCACACTCTTAGGGGAGGGGGGGGGGGTGCTTACAAATGTGTGACAAGCAATGCATTTTCTCTAATTTTTGCGAGGAGTACTTAATGCAGGTTCCAACTCAATGGTTCCAACTCAGGTTCCAACTCTATTGGTTTCTTTAAGGTGAAATAATAGATTTTCTTCAAACGAAAGCTGTGCACACATGGGAATGTTCAAGGTAAGCGTCTGTAAGAAAAATATCAGGTGAATTGAATGTTATGATAGTCAATTTTAATGACCGTTCTGAATTTTATTCTGAACTGTTTTTTCTATTTGAACTTGTCTAACTTGGCGACCTTTATGAGCTTCAAGTAGAAGACATCGTATGGGGGGAATGTTGTTCATTTCTGCGGTCCATAATGCTACGGAAGCTATGAGACTCGGCTCTCCGGATGCCACAAGTTCCGATACCAGCTCCCATCAGCTTAAATGTCCGTAGTCATTATCACAGGATCAAGATCCTAGTGGGTGAAAACCTCGATTAAAACCTCCGTATTTTGAATGATCTGTATTTTGAACGATACATTTAAACGAGCAATAGTCGAATGGTTCCAATGGCCATCAGTATAGCTTCCTCCTGGAACTGGATCAACGAGTCACGTACGATACGGTCAGTGGCGTGTAGTTAATTCTATTAATATCAGGATTAATATTGAAACTCACAACTGTTTGACACCGGGAGCTTCTGCGCCGTCCATCCCTGACTGCTGGTCTAAGCCAGTCGGCAGTTGTTGGGGTGGGCATCAAAGGTCTCTTTTGCTCCCGAGTCTCCGGCCGTTGGCGAGAGGGAGAGTTTTCGGAATTATTAGAAGCTTGACAAATAGGGTTAATTTAGGCTTAAATTGAATGGTTTTATTAATCCAATGGCTGGCGGGAGGTGAAACACTTACGCTGCTGCAATGGAGAAACCGACCGCTGTCTATGTCAAGCTACCGACCCTCGTTGCTATCGGCGGCTGTAGTGTGGACTGATCCCAGATCCTGGGAGACCACGGACGTTAGCTGTCCCAGAGGTTGAAATCTCAGTCTCCGAAAGGCACAGTATATAGGCTCTTCACACACTACCTTCCAAAAATGCACTTTAACAACGTGCCTCACGTCTCTGAACCCCATCAAAATTTCACCAGATCCATTCTCTTGCAGAGCTCCAGACTCACTGACCTTCTCTCCTCTTCATCATAGCTCAGCCACCACCCAGCAACTCCTTTCGTTATGCGTTTTGCTCTATCTGCTGTTCCATCGTGGCCCTCTTCATTATGGGAGTCCAATCGCCACCCGTCACGAAACGTATAGATGGCTATCAACTACAAATTGACCGTTAACTTTCTGAGCATACTGAATACTGTTTCCTATCGTCTCACAATTATACGCAACAAAAAACTGTTACCGTTCAGTAACAATATAATAAATGTTAAATGTACACAAAATCAGATAAACAAACAAATGAAATTTGTTAATAGGCTATAGCAACCGAGCAAACAAACCATCACTAGATACTTCTTAAGTATTTATAAATATTCCCAGGTATCTATAGGTATATCGATAGAAATACAAAGTTTAGAGTGGGATGCCCCTAGACTTTATGTATTATGGTTTTTTGCACAAACGAAGTGACAGACGACTAACTGGCGAAGAAATCCATTTAAATAATGTGGTTCACTGTAATAGAATTTTCTTGGAAGCTTGTGCCATCATCCACCAGATGGGTTAGTTTTTTTGTTTTGATTTGAGCAAAGTTGATTTTGTGTACAATGATTCTTTGACAGTGTGCAAAGAGTGCGTATCATTTTGTCATTTTTTTATGCATTTCAGTTTTGAGTAGAGTGAAAGAGATAGAACCAAAACATTCTAGTACATTTGGTGAAAATGCTAGTTCAATCTAGTAGTAAGTGTTGCCATGTTGTACAATCCAGTAGTAGTGGTGTTGCCATGTGGTACACTGAAAAATTGCAATAGCAGGTTAGTCACCAAAGTTTTCGAGCCGCTCCGTCTGTCACTTCGTTTGTGGTTTTTTGGAAGCGAACCTTACAAATAATAGGTTGTTAAGAACCTTTACCATTCAAAATAACTGTTTTCTCCATACATTTTCGGAAAGAGAACTATATAAGCACAGACAAACAGACGTAACTCTTCATTGTGTATCTTCGTTCACGCATTTAACGGTTGATTTGAACATTATCAGTTCCACGAACTACTCGCCGCAGCGCTGGCATCGGATCACTTTGACGTTTCTATACATTCTATAGAACTTTTATGCAATATTGTTTGCGAGTTAGCGAGCAAGCTTGTTTTCCGCGAGAAGCCTGAAAGATGTCGCTACTGAGGTCCTATGTTTTGAGATACTATGTTTTCAAGAAAAACTTTTTCAAAGAGTTACGTCTGTTTGTCTGTGATATTAGAACCTTTTTACTTATGATTTAAGAATTTGAATGGTAATGGTAGTCAGTAATAGCATAGAGGTAACTTTAAGACTATTAGGTCCCGAATAAACGTGCTCAACTTTTTGGCTCAGCTCTGGTACTATCTTCGGTCCCAAGCTAATCGATGCACCACTCGAAACATAGGAAAATTCAAAAACCCCCCATTTTATCTGTCAAACTTTCATAGCAAATCAAAACAAACATAGTGTAGTACTAGAATTTCGACTAGAATGGGGTATGTTAATCGATTTGCTTGGGACCAATAGGCTAGTCAAGTAGTGAGCCAATTTCAAATCGATAGTTTCGTATTGATTGTTGCTACAATTCGTTTTGAAAGTTTCAACTTCTAAAAGTAGCATGCGAGCAACTTTTGAATTGACAGTTTTTTTTTTTTTATCTAGTTCGTTTATTTGGAAGGCTCAATCGCGTTAGCTTTACGGAGCCGATAATTCATTGTTCACTGTGTGTAACAAAATTCACTTAATTCTATGTCTAGTAGGAGTTGGGCCGATTACTCGCGGCTTACTCGAGGTTAGAAGGGTACATTTTCGAAGGATAGGATCAGGGGAGGAGCTTGGGGTAGGGTTTCGTTGTCTCATCAGAGCGTTGTCGCCAGTATGAACGGTAGTGCTGTTCTAGCTTCGTCCGGAGTTCGACCGGCTATGGTGGGTGACCAGTGGGCGACGATGAGACTCATCGAGACGGGGGGACAAGACAAACAAAAACTAATAAAGAGAGACAAAAGACAAAAGGAATTAAATTCTTATACTAGACATTTGAAGAAAAACATAAACGGACTGCATATAGCAGAGATCACGGGTTGCCAACACGTCTCTGATAGGAACATAGGGTTGTCTTCCTTGGGCCTCGAGGGTATTCAAAAGTCGCTCTCTGGCGGCGTCATTATCCGTACATTGCCAAACTGCGTGTTCGATGTCATCGTAACCGTTTCCACACCGACAGATGTTGCTGTCCACGAGGTTTATTCTATTGAGATGAGCATCTAGCGAGTAGTGGTTGGACATAAGTCTACTCATCACGCGAATGAAGTCACGACTTAAGCCCAAGCCTTTAAACCACGCTCTCGAAGAAACATTAGGAATAATTGAATGTAACCACCGTCCAAGATTTCCAGTGTCCCAATCGGTTTGCCAACTCGAAAAGGTACTCTGACGCACTAAATGGTAAAATTCATCGTGTGAAATTTGCCTGTCATACAATTCGCCTTCCTGCGCGCCCACCTTTGCGAGAGAGTCCGCCTTCTCATTGCCTGGGATTGAGCAATGTGAGGGGACCCATACAAAGGTAATCATATATGATCTTTCGACCAGCACACACATCTGCTCCCTTACCTTTGAAAGGAAATAAGATGAGTGCCTACCTTGTTTCATCGACCGAATAGCCTCAATCGAACTGAGACTATCCGTGAAGATGAAGTAATGGTCTGCGGGCATGTTGGAAATCATCCCCAATGCGAAGTTGATTGCTGCCAGCTCAGCAACAAAAACGGAACAAGGTTCCTGAAGTTTGCGGAAGGCGCTAGAGTTTTCATTGAAGACACCGAAGC